TCTCCCACCAACACATGGCCCCCCACCTGCTCAGTCAAATCGCACTCGGCAGCTCCAGCAGGGCAAGGGCTGCCTAGTGAAACTGGCAATTGAGATCCTGGAGTCTCCCAAACCTGCCTGGTGACCTTGAGGGGCTAGAAGGTAGGCAAAGGAGCCCCCTCTACAGAAACTGCTTCCACTAGCTAGAGATTCTTTTGGACTTGCTGCCCAGCTCTGCCCTTAGAGGACTGCAGTGAGGAGGAGTCTGTGCCCCACAACCCACCATGTGTGAAAGCCTGGGGGACAGGAGGAAGGGATGGTACTCCTCCACCCCTCCTTTCTACTTCCTCCTGCTCTCCTCTCCACTCTCCCCATCACATAAACTCCCTTGTGGACAGATCTAGTTTAATTTCCTTTGCCCCCTGAAGGGGAATGAAACATCTGGTGGAGACTTGAGGGAGAGTAAGCATGAGGATGTGAGTGATGGGGATCTAGCTGAGTGTGTGAGAACTGCAGCTATGGGCCTCCGTGTTGGAGTCAGTGGGAATGAGTATATCTGCCATTTAGTCCAGCTTGTATGTGTGTGAGACTCTGTTTACTTGTGTATACAGATTATGGATGTGAGAATATTTATAACTGTGCATGGAGGAGTGTATATAAAAAATATGTCTGAGTATCTATCTGTATGTGCTTGTGTGCACTTGTGAGTATAGTGTGTGTACATGTGTGTACCCCAAGGCGGGTCTCCAGTGCATCTGTGTGCTGGGGCCCATGTGTTGTCTCCAGGATTTGTGAGTGTGTATCTGTGTATCTGAGCGCATTTGAGTGTGGGCATGGGCTTGCAAGCCTCAAGATGTATTCGTGTATCTGAGTGTGGCTTATGTGTGTGTGTGTGCTCAGGGCTATCTCAGTGTCAGGGCTGGCAGTGGGTTGACACTGGGTCAGAGGCTGGTGAGGGGCAGTTTACAAGACAGCTCTTTGGGAAACCCTAACTGTCCAGGATAACAGCCCTGACTTCTCCCACCTTGTACCCTTGCCCCTCCTCCTAGAGCTCCTTCTCCTTCCTCTTTGCTTCAGGCTCCTGGTCTCCTCTCAGCACCTGAAACTCCTGGCTTCTATTGGCCCTGCAGCCCTGCCCTCTGGGCCAGACCTTCAGGATCGTTCTTGTATTGTCTGACTCCTTCCATCCTTCTCTGTGTCTTCCCCATCCCTTGCTGAAGCAGCTGCCTACTGGGAGAAGCAGCAGGCGATCAATAGTCACTAATCACTAATCGCTAATTACTAATTAGCTAGGGGAGGGCAGGGGTGGGACCCTTTGGGACCTTCCAGCTCTATCCTGCCTCCGGGAAGGATTAAGCCCAAGCTAGCCTCAGAGTGGGCTGGCCCTAGCTACCCATCTAGCCACCCTCTTCTGCCTCCACCTCCCTACTCCCCTCTAGCCCCCAGCTAATCTCTGGCTGAGCCACTTAGGCACGTGCAGCCTGGGCTAGGGCCCAGAGCTGTTGGTGAGGATTTGGGGGTAATCAGGGCTGCAGCTGGGCTAGGGGCACAGGAGGGGGTTGGGCAGCACTGTGACAGCTCCCTTGATCCAAGTCTGCCAGTATAGGAGTGGTACCCGCGGGAAAGAATTTATAGGCTATCCAGGTGGGGCTGGAGAAGGAGCTGGAGAAGGGTGACTGGAGAAGATGTGAGGTAATTGGGGGACAGAAACAAAGTAAAGAAGGGGCACTAGGGTCAGAGATAGAGTCATTGGGAAGGGGTGAGATAAACGTTGAAAGAGACTAGGTAAGTGGAGGGGGCATCACTGGGGTCAGAGACGAAGTTATTGGCAAGGAGATAGGGAACTTTGGCGGAGCCTGCAATTCCACGTGGGCGAGGTCCAGGAGGGGGACAGGGTAACAGAGAGAGGGCAGGGTCTTGGGAGGAGTACCAGGGCTCAAGCGTTGCTGGGAGCAATGAGGAGTCGCGGGGCGTGGGGTGGGTAGCAGGGCGCTTCCTTGAGCGCTGAAAACTGGCGTCTCCCCCCCCCACCCCGCTCTCTTGCCTGCCCCTCCTCCACCTCCACCCCGCCCACTCCCCCTCAGGCTCCGGCTTCGGGAAATTACATCCCCGCTCCGCGGCTCCCACCACCCCCCTCCACCGCGCCCTGGAGCCCGCGCCTTTATAGGCACATTTATTGCAATAATAAAGTGAGGCGCGGGGCGGGGGACGGGGGGGCGCCGTTCCCGTGGGGACCGCGCCGGCTCTAGGAAGCAGGGAAATAAAATAAAATAAAATAAAATAAAAATTCAGATAACGGTGAGCCTTGAGCTGCAGGCTTCGGGCAGGCGGGACTGAGGGGGAGGGGGTGACCGGCCCAAGGGCAGAGCTGGCCCCACCAGCGGTCCATAGCCCCTCACGCTATAGTAGAGTCAGGAAGGAGGTATGTGCAATTCCACCTGCCTCGCTCCCTCCCTTAGCCTAACCGTGCCCTTCTGCCATTTCCTTTGACTTGTCTCCCACACGTGTCCTCAGCTCCTGTCTCAGTGCCTTTCTCCCACCTCCTTCATGTCCTCGATTTCTCATTCCAATCCTCATTCACATTCCCCCATCCCATCCCCATACTCTGGGTCTCTGCATCCCTCAGCATCCCTGCTTCTGCCCAATAACCATTCTCCATTTCTGTTCCCACAGGAATCTGGTCCTCATCCCCAACTCCCAGTCCCTATCCTATTCTCTTTCCTGCCCATCCCTCATCCACCACTTCTGTCCTCCCCCATCCTTGTTTTGGTTCTCATCTCATTCTGTCCTCTCTCTTCATTCCCCTGGTCCCTACCCCATCTGCATCCTCCCTGTCTCTGTCCAATGCCTGTCCACCATTTCTGAGCTCTTCATCCTTGTTCTCATGCTTCATCCTTGTTCCTGCCATTGTTCCATCCTCACCTTTGCACCTTTGCACTCCAAGTCCGCACTATCAGTCCTCTTCCATGTCTTTCCCAGTCCTCACCCCAGCCTGTCCTACCCACCCCACCTCTGTCTTCACCCCATCTCCATCCCTGGTTCCCAGCCAGACCCCAGCTACTTCATCCTGCCCTGACTGCAGTGTCCATGCCTCTTTCTAGGTGCAAGGGCTCAAAACGACTCTTCCTCTCATACCCCCAACCGGCCCGGAGCACTGTTCCTTCCCCAACCATAGGGTGCTGTCCCCTCCCCCATCAGAATCCTGAATGGCCCCACCAGACCTATGCAGTAAGAGAAGAGACCGACCAGTCTGGAGGCCCTGGGGGAGGTGCACCCTGCAATGCGGCTGGGGGGCCGACAGTCCAATCCTCCCCCCCCCCCCGGTCCCATCCCAAAAGAGCCCTCCCCTCATGGAGTTTGTTCAGCAGCAAGAGGCAGCCTCAACTCCCCTCCAGTGCGTGGGCTAGCTGCCTTGGGGGCAAAGCACTCCTGGCTCGTCTCCCGTCTTCCGCCCGGCAAGGGCCTGATGGCGCCTGGTGAAGTGCACCCCCCACCCACCCCCCTATCCCCCGCGTCTGCCATTGAAAATCTCCACACACACACACACACACACACACACACACGCACACACATACACACGTACACACACACCCCCAGCTGACAGCCAGGCTAGCCTCTTCCCTCCGCAAATGTCACCGCGCTCAATTAGCTTAATTAAACCAGCTCTGGAGCTAGAGGGACCCCTCCTCGGACAACACCCTGCTCTCACTCTCAGTCCTAAAGGGAGAGGAACAGCACCGTGGATTCTGGGCAAAGAGGGGCTCCCTTGTCACCCTGCTTTCCTCTCACTCCCACCCCCGCCTACAGTTGGAGACAGACAACCTGAAAGATAGAGGGAAAGAACCACAGAGACAAACAGAAATGGAGAAAAACAGAATCATGGAAGGAGAAAATTATAGATAGTGAGGAAGAGACTGAGAGACAAAACAGAGACTGAGAGGAGAGTGGGGGGAGAAGAGAGATGGAAAAACAGTGAAAGAGGGAGAACGAGAGAGGGAGAGCGGGCAGGCGAGCAAGGAAGCCAGAGGGAGGATTTTATTTTATTTTATTTCATGTTCCCATTTCTCGGCTCGTTTCCTCGCAGACTCTCGCCCCTCCCTGTCCGAGCTCCCCCCAAGGTCGCTTTGGCTGCCCCCGCAACCCATCCTTTTTATCTTGGCTGTCTCCTGTGGCAGGTGGGGGGTGCTGGTGCCCAAAGCCCAGGGATTTGCCAGGATCAGAGAAGCGAAGACAGAAATTTGTCTGGGATTAGAGTGGGGAATACCCAGTACCCCTCGCCACCCAGCTGAACCTGCTTTCCTGTCCCAATCTGTGCCTGGCAAGAGTCACTGCACTGAAACAGCCCTAGACAGGTCCTGAGAGGGTGCTATTGGGGTGTGCTGAGGACAGGGTAGTTTGGAGTTGTAGCAGCTGGCTGTGAGGACCAATGGAAGCCCTTGGAAGAAGCAGTAATTGGGTCCAGAGAAGTGAGGAGTTAGGTGTCAGAGTTCAAATGCCACCCCCCAACTCCACTTTTGACCTTTTCTGGAAGCTTTGTGCACTCCCTCCTCCAATGCCCTCTCCGGAGCTCAAGCCCTGCCCTCTCCAAACCCACCTCCTGAGGCCTTGGCCCCTCCTTCTGGGAGGCTCT